CCTTCTACCAGTACCATATGCATTGCTGGTGCATATAGATAAATAATGAATTTTACCATGCTCATTTGGGGTTTAGTGGTGTTTTCATCAGATGGCTGCTATTTTTTGCTATTATTTTTTTACTGATGGGGGGGGAACAGCCTATGGATCTATGGGAGTGCCCTAGGAGTGACATTTGGTCACCTGATTTGCAGTTGAGGAAGTATTTAATTTCCCAATATCCTGAAATGGTTCTCTTCTTAAGCCACATGGCAATATAGGAAATTGAAAGAGGAAGGAAAATTTAAAGCTGCGAGCTCACTTTGGTTAATTTGCAGTGATCACATGCGCTGGAAATGAACCAAAAATGGAGCAATTCTACCTGCACCAAAAAAGCAGAAGCCCCTGACAGGGACCCAGAAAGGTGCAGGTAGGAATGTTCTGGGGACAGGCTGGTTCCCTTCAGCTATGACATTGTGTGTTCACCAGAAAAGCAGCCAATCACCCTGTCCCCCACCCCACCCCCAGCAGTTCAAACCATGGGACAAATGCCTGTCTGATAGCATCCAAAGGTTTAAGATTAACGCAAGCAGTGTATCCACGCAAGCAGCTCGAAGAGCCATTTTTAATTATTTATTTAAAATATTTATAAGCCACCTTTCCCCTAAAAGATCCAAGGTGGCTTACACTATTAAAAGAAATGTTCAAAGCTAAATAATAAATTACTGCAATATTTTTAAAAACATAGATCACATTAAAACGTATAAATAGGCGCAATATTAAAAGCACAAGTAAAACAACAGAATACAATTATCTCTTTAAAAATCCCCTTGGTCAGCCAGTTATGTAAAGGAAAGCTTTCCTGAAGAGAAAGGACAGCCGAGATGAGGCCAGCCCGGCCTCCCGTGGCAGGGAGTTCCAGAGGGTAAAGGAGCAGCAGCAGAGAAGGTGGCCCTCTCCCGCCATGTCCCCCACAAAGTGGGCTTGTGAGGTGGTGAGGCCGAGGGAAAGGCCCCGTACGCCTGCAGGATGAAGGGCTCCCTTTTCGTGGCCTGAAACATTTCCCTCTGTTTCTCAAGGACCAGGAAGCGCCTAATAGGGTGGAGAAGCAACGCAGGGAACAAGCAGCTTGTATGGCTTTGAGATTGTTCCCATTTCAACACAATCTTCAAGCATTTGCTTCACATTTACTCTTTCCTCTTAACCCGCAAAGGCAGAATCTTCAGGGAGCATCTTCCCTTTTGCCTGCGCTCCTGATTTTGGAAGAGGCTCAAAGAACGTGGCAGCAAGCATTCCTGTCCTGGAAGACCCTCTCAGCGGCAAAGCGCCACCTGCTGGCCACGGACATTCCCAAAGGAAGGGGAGCCCATTGGGCACCAAAGTAGGCATCCGTCAGCCTCCAGAGAAGATGCTCGGGTGCTCTGCACGGAGGTCTTGGAACAGCATCTAATGTGGCTGAGAAGGCCAGTTCGAGAGGGACCATCCCTTCCACACCGAAGACAAATACAATCTGTACCCCGTCTAGCTCCCGGATTTTGCTGCTTTCAGGACTGCCTCTTTGCCTCGGCCTGCTGGACAAGCGTCTCTTCAAATTGGGAGAGGCCATGATGCACCGCCTGCCTCCAGGCTGAACGCTCAGATGTCAAGGTTGCCCATCTGTTGAGATCCATTCCTAAGGCCTTCAGATCCCGCTTGCAGATGTCCTTGTATCGCAGCCGTGGTCTCCCTCTGGGGCGATGTCCCTGCACTCATTCTCCATACAGGGGATCATTTGGAATCCGACCATCAGCCATTCTCACAACATGCCCAAGCCAACGTAGACGTTGCTGTTGCAATAATGTATAAATGCTAAAGATCCCAGCTCTATTTGGAACTAGGCTGAAGGATCAAAGCAAACGGGGGGCCTCTGTGGCCGGGCATCCTTTTCTTCTGGTGGCGAAATCCTTGCTTCCCGGGAGCTCAACCACAGGACATGAGTGCAATGGCGTCTGAGCCCCCAGTTCCCAAAGCTATAATGCAGAACAAAAAATCTAGAAAACTGAGTGTGCGGTTCTCGGAAACAATGTAATTGCAAGAGCAAGTGATATCCTTATTAGGCCATTAAACAACAACAACAACAGCAACAACAACATACATAGGCATCCTTCAGTCTCGAGACTATAGTAACATGCTCTGAATTGAGGAGTGTCCTCTCCAGAGCATGAAGCCCGGGTAAGGTAATATGGAGGATAGGCTGTTACCCAAGCAGCAGATCCCCCCTCTCCACGTTGCTGAAATGGTCCAATGGAAAGGCAAGAGCCAATACAACTGGTTCCAGCGACGTCGCAGGAGCTGCCAGAATGACACGAACTGCCTCCAGGACTCCGGCTTTTGCCTATAGGTTAACTCCTGAAGCCTTTTCCATGAGTGGATATACGTAGCCACAAGGCAGTGGAGGTTTGAAATCGGATTTTCCTTCTCCTAGATGGGCTGCCTTCCATGGCAACAACAAACAGATAGTTTTCAAGAGAGTTTTCAAGGATAATCCATTTCCCCCAGGTTGTGCACCCGAATCTCAGTGGATAGTTCAGAAAAATTATATGTTAGGGTCCCCAAGTTCCACGGCCGTTTTTCATGCCAGGCCTGCTTCCTAAGGTGATTCAGGGGCAGTCTGCAAATGGCTTGTGGGTGGGCGGGGGTGGTTTCAAACTCCTTTGCAGGCGGCATTGGTTTGGAATTTTACCTCCTGACTCTTCAAACAAGGAACTGCCAAGGAACCTGCATTCGCATCGCACCCGTGGTGGTTCTGTGTGTGTGTGTGTGTGTGGGGAAGAGTAGCTTCCATTGGGGGTGAATGCTAGGAGAAAGAGAAGCCGGACACCCTGGCAATGGGGAACTTTGGCAAGGACACCCCCAGAGCAACAAGAGAGAGACGGACAGGCCCCCTGATGTCCGAATGGGAAGCTCTTACCTAACCACAAGAATGCAGGTATTCACTCACTCACACTCACACTCACACTCACTCACACACACATACAAATGCAAGCTGGAACTGATTCATGGCAACCTTAATAACACTGTCAAGGTAACGGAGGTATTGAAGGAGGGGCCTCACCCTAACCCACCCCCACCGCCTATTTGCCCGGCCCAGCAGGATTCCAACCCAGGCCTGCCTTGTGGTCTGTCCACTTCTATGCCACATTGGGGTTCCCAGCAGTGAAAAGATTAAAACACACAGACACACACACACACATGGGGGAACGGAGAGGCCAAGCCCAGGACTGGCGGCTTCAAGGGACGGCTGCTACAACCTGGGGACCTCCCTCAGAGACACCCACCCACCCACCCCTGTCGTGCCCCAGAGGACCTGGAGGGCCCAGGGAGGGTCTTGAGGTGTGTGGTTGGGGTGGGGAGTCCTTCAGCCCTCAGCCCCCTTTCTCCTCCGTCACCAGCGACGTCTTTCTTGTGCTGTGGATGCCTTTGCCTTCCCCCCTTTCCTCACAGTCCCAAGGATACCCACTCCACACTGGATTGCGCCAGCAGCCCCGGTCTGCTCTGAATTTATTTGCCCAAGGACCGTGAGGCCTCTGTGGATGTGGTGGTGGTGGTTCTGTGACCTCCAGTGGCCCACCCCCACCCCCGTCCTCCCCGACTGAGCCGTCTCCCCAAGGAGCCCTGACAACAACACCCCACGGCCCAGCTCGGCACTTGCAGGCACATTTCTACCAGCTCTCTTGCGGTCCATTTCCCCCCCCACCCGATCATTTCTTACTACGCCGCTGTTTTCCTAGCCCAGCCCAAGAGCTTCTTACTGTTGCTTTCAAGGCAGCCTATTGCTGGTGCTTCACCCCCGTCTCAGCGATCTCGATGCTTACTTTTCGTATCCGCTTGATTTCCACTGTGGTTCTGGCTCCCAGTTCCTTCCCCACCCTGAGCTCAGCAGAGGGGGGGGGGAAACAGACAAACAGAAGGTATACAAGAACAACCCCCCCCCAATTTTCGGTGGCTCTTCTCTTCTTCTTCCTCACTCGACACATGCAGGAACCTTGTCCTCTCAGCATAGGCAGGGGCCATCCTGGCTATGGGGCCCTCTGGCTGCGACCCTCCCGAAAAGTGACTTTTCCAAGCCCTGGCTCAGGCTGTGAATAGAGAGAGAGGACGCTCCCGGGCCCAGTGGAGCCTTCAGAAGGACTTGCTGGAGAGGGATTTCCTCCCCAGCACAGAAGGTCTAAAGAAGGCTGTGTGCAGGGTTACAGCGGCAGAGCTTAGCCCCAGCATTGGCCTGGGACAGCACCCCTACAACAGTGCAGGACGTGACCTTTCAATGAGAATCTCTACTCTTTTTGCTTTTCCCTGGAAACTAGACTTTATTATGGTACAAAATGGCATAATAGAAAATAAATTAAGTTTCAACTTCAGTGCTTCCATAACAAAAATAGAACTACTCCTATGTCAATAAATACGACAGGCCAGCTATTTTACAAGGCCCCCAAAAGGCACAACCGTTTTCCTGCAGAACCGGCCCCAAGTCTTGGCCCCACAAACCTGGGCCAAAAGTGAACGCTGGGGGAGGCCGAAGGAGGGCGGCAGCCCAGCAGGGCCCCCCTCACCTGGGCGGGGGTGGGACGCTCCTTCGGCAGCCCAGAAACCTCTGGACCTGAGACCGTCCGGTGGCCCCACTTTGGTCGGTCAAAGCCAAAAGGTTGTGGGGAGGGGACAGACAGCGTCTTTATCACGCGGCTTGGCCATGTCTGGCCCTTCAGCTGCGGGGATGCCCCCTGCGGACGTCCATCCCCTGGGCCGAGACCCGAGTTCTCAGACCTGCTCCATCCCTTCCGAGCCTGGAAACCCCACAGGGAGGCCCCCCCAGTAGCCCCCAGTTTCCTGCTGCTCTCTCTCCCCTGGGTATTTAACACTTCAGGATGAGAGAGAGGGGTTGCCTTACAGCCACGAAGGCCACAGCTCTTCTGGATGACATTCTGAGTTAGCAATACGGCTGGAGAAATATTGCCATTTTGCCAGCCGTATTGCCACAAAAAAGGTTAAATTCTATACCGCTCTCCATGCTTTAAAAAAAAACCCGAAGTGGGTCAAAATATCAAAAAGCAAAACATGCAACAGTAAAACCTGGTGATCTACAAGGTGCAGAGGCCCAACGAAGGCATCCTGGCCCAGCCAGGAGGGGGGCTGTCGGAACGCCTTTCTCGGATTAGGAAAGAGCCCTTGGACGGTGGAGCCGATGATCCCAGAGTCCAGCTGGAACTGTCCAGATCGGTAGGTGTTCAAAGGCCCAAACTTCCCAGCCCATCCCCTGCCCCTGCCCCGAGCTGGACACGGGGGTCCACCCAAGCACCGTCAAGTCCTGCACCGCCTCTTCTGGTCCTTTTTCTCCCGAGCAGGCGTTGGCTATTAACTCTGTGCCCGTGGAGCAATGGGGGTGGGAGAGTAATGTGGGCAGCCGCCGGAAGGGGCAAGGGGCACTGCTAGACCGCCACCTCCACCTCCACCTCCTCCTCCTCCTTGTCCTGCCTGGAGGGGTCCGGCCGTGGGGTCCCAAAGTGCGAGAGCTTGGCCGCCTTCTGCTCCAAGCTCTGTTTTCGCCACTTGATCCGCCTGTTCTGGAACCAGACCTTCACCTGCCAGGAAGAAAGCAGAAGCCACCGCTGTGAACGGATCCCACGCAGGTGCCACGCTGGGGATACCTGGGAATCCACCTTCTCCGGCTGCAGCCCAGCAATATTCCCTCCACACACACACACACACACACACCCTCTTTTTCTTTTAAAAAAGTTTCTGCACTGTAAGTGCCCCCCCCCAATACTGTGACCTGCTGCTTTTTGTTAACCCCGGACCTCAAGGGAGTGTGGGAGGGGAAGGGCACGCCTCCAGGCTCCTGCCCAGCTCCCCTTCAGTGGGGAAGGAGCCCAGGGAAGGTTTCCCCCCCACACACACACACACACACTCCCGTCCCCTCACAGCCCCTGGAAGGGTTTGGCCCCATGACAGCTGCCTCTTCAGGAAACGAGAAGGGGCAAAGCGGCACTGAACCCCCCCCCCCAAGGACCAGAGCACTTTATCCAGGAGGCTGGGGGAGGGGGAGCGGTCAGGGGCTCTTGGCCCTTTCTGGACCTGGCGCTTCAGGAGACGCTTATGATGTGCTTTTATCATTTATGGAGGTTTTGGCGAGTTATGCACCGGGGGGAAAGCGACCCGAGGGATGTAAAAACGGGCAACGAGAAACAGGGTGTTAACGCCAGGGCAGCCAGGATCTGATTCTGCAGATGTTCATGTCTTCCGTGTTGGACCAGTCCCTCCTCTAGGGACCCTCTTCCCTGCAAAGGCCCAGAATGTTTTGGGGATAACATTATCCTTTCAGTTTCAACAGGACAACCAGGGTGACAGACAGACGAGGACTCCAGAGGCCTGGGTTCAGATCTCCCCTTGGTCCTGAAACTCACTGGGTGCTCATCGTGATCTACCTGACAAGGTTGTTGTTCAGACACCAAGAAGGGGGAGGATTGGAGGAGGAGAGCCATGGGCACCACCTTGAGCTTATCAGAGATGGGGGAAGGACAGAAAAGCACCTCATTTCTATTAATACCTGAATGGAATGTTCCCCCAACAATGTAGCCCCAAAACAGGTAGAGGGAAACACTCTCCCGATCCTCATTTCTGGGGCACCACTCCCTGCCCCCACCCCCTCGGGAGGGCATGGCACATCCTCCTGTTCCTTACGGAGTGAACAAGGAAAGAGCCGAGTTAGAGTACCCAGTGCAGAGGGGCAGGTGTGGGAGGGGGGGCAGGCTCCTCACCTGGGTCTCTGTGAGGTGCAGGGTGGCCGCCAGGTCCACCCGCTCTGTGCCCACCATGTATTGCTGCTTGAGGAACTCTTTCTCCAAGCGCTCCAGCTGCTCCGGAGTGAAAACGGTGCGGACCCTCTTAATCTTGCAGGGGACCCCAGATCGCCACGAAAGGGGCCCCCCTGAGGAGCCAGCAGCAGTACAGTGGGAGAAGTCCAGGCCTGAAAGCACAAAGCGGAAAGGTGCTTGATCACACACAGAGGAAAAACACACCTTGGTCAGGAAAGCCCGGACGCAAAGTATGGGAAATGCAGGGCCTCCGAGCAGCTTTCAGGCCAACCTGCAGCCTCCCCAAGCAGCCTCCAGCCTCCTCATAGGGGCTGGAAGGAAGGGGCCTCTCCAACAAGGGCAGATCCCAAGGGCTCTGCTTGCTTTCCCACCTTAAAGGGAGACTCTGAAGGCACGGCTGCTCCCTTTCTGGAGGACGAGGAAGCAGCCACCAGCACCCTGATTTTTGAAAGGGGATCCCGGAATTCACCTGCCCAGGCCGGCCAGGGAACCCCTAATCAGGGTGGATTGGTGGAAAGGGCAGTCGAAGATAGAAGGCACTGGTTCTTAACCTTGGGTTACTCAGGAGTTTTGGACTGCAACTCCCAGAAGCCTTCACCACCAACTGTGCTGGCTGGGGTTTCTGGGAGTTGCAGTTCAAAAACATCCGAGTAACAAAGGTTAAGAACCACTGATGTAGTGGACTGAAGAACCTTATTCTCTCTCCATCTCCATCTCTCTCTCTCCACCCCTTTCCAGCTCTCTGAAATCCCCTGAGCTGTCCAGTGGCCGCCAGGATCTTCCAGGCCCAGTCTTTTCACAGAGCAGACCTTTGGTCTAGATAGGCGGGGTAGACATCCAATAAAATAAATAAATACAAAATAAATGCTTCTGGCAAAGGCTCTGGAGTAAATTTAGCATGATGACTTCATCCTTCCGGACACTGCAGACTCCCATCATCCTCAGACACACCTCTGCTGGCTGGGGCTGATAGCAGTTGTAGTACATAGCATCTAGAAGGCATCCAGTTTTGGAGGGGGGGCTGGAGTAAGAGGAATGGGCACCATGGTTATTACATCAAGAATGGGCTGAGCACAAGATGCAGGCAGGCAGGCAGGCAGGAGCTGATGATGAATAGGAAGGAAGGAAGGAAGG